ACCACAGCACAAGTGTTGAAGAGGTGTGTTTTGCCTTCTTTTTTTTTCTTTTTCCAAGGATTGATTAATATGTAAATAATTTGTGATTTCTATTTATATCCATTTTTAAAAGGGATAGCATGAGTTATGGTTGAATATTCTAGTTTTGTGTTTTCATAAACTAAGTGACATGAAATATTAATAATGTGTACTGTTGACATGCCTTCATACCTTCATGCCTGGTAGTATATTCTCTCTGTTGATGTATGATAATATATAGATTCAACACATTAGATATGACAATTCTTATGTTCGTTCTGATATTTTTTTTTCCTCATGTTATCTTGCACTATAAGGTGCATAGGTGCCAATAATGAGTAAAGTCAACAATATTATGTCATTTCACTGTTGCTTTGGTACATTTCTACGTTGATTCCATTTACGTGCTGTGGTAGTTGTTCTCTCTCTGTTTTTTTTTTTTTTTTGGCCAAAGTGGTAGTTGTTCTCAAACGCTGGGATTCTCAACAGGTTTTCAACAAATTTTGAAATTGTATATGGTTCCATAATTTTTAGGTCTAGTTTCAGTATTTGGTATTGCACAAGATTTGTTGACCATTTTAAACAAGAATTTCTCTTACATGCAATGGAGCCTTATACAAAATTCAGATAAAATTTTATTAAATGTATTTTGAACCTGTGGCTTTTATGTTAAAAAGAAAATTTGATTATGTTTTTGTTACATTGTAACATGTGAGATATTTATAAAATATTTTCTAATTCTACCTGACCTCTGCAGGAAATTTTCAGAATAAGGGCAGAACACCCTGATGATAATCAATCCATTTTTAATGATAGAGTGAAAGGACAATTAAAAGTCACCAGAGCATTTGGTGCTGGATTCCTGAAGAGGGTCAGTTGATCTACTGACTTTGAGCTAATCTGAAATTTAGTTTGCTGCTGTCCTTTTGTCTGTAGTTTTTAGGTAGGGACTTAGTTTGCTTCCATTATTGGTACTATTTCATTTTTAGATATGAAAAGAGTAAGGATAATGGTAAGTGTTGACTAATCTGAGCGTCTATAATAGAATTTCAGACTTAAAATACATCTTTTTTCATTATGTAGAGACCGCTCAATGAATGAAATAAAATACTTAATTAAAAGTTTTGCTTTCCTTTGAATTATTTGAGAGTTATTTAACTTGAGTTATGAGGTTGCGAATACGAGTGATATTTTTTTTAGGAAAGAATAAGAAAAAAAGTATTTAATTTAAATCAGAGTCTAAATGATTTGATGATTTTATGAATCTATTTGACATCATAATTCTATATGTAGACATAATTTCGAATTTTCTCAAGCCGTATGAGGAGAAAACTTCTTATACGTTTCTAAAAGTCTCTCTCTGCATATGTGTCCCAACTATTTCATACAAAGAAAAATTTAAACAGGATTTTTGAAAGCTCGAAAGGATAAATTGGCAATTATAGCTTCCTTTGGTTTTCCTCCATGTCCTCTTGATAGCGTGGTTCTTTCGCAAGAATGAATCTTGGTAGGTGACGGCTTTCTTTTGTTGGCAGTCCAGCCACTCTCTTAACTCATTCACATATTCAACCCCCTTCACTTATGAAAAAATTATGCGGATTTCCACTTCTGAATTTATGAAAAATAAGAGAAAAACACAATCGTTGGTCTTTATAGTTTCATCGAGTTTTGCTTTTAGTCAATATAGGTTTTGTTCAGTGTTTTCAATTTTTATAGTTTCAGTAAGATTGGGTGACATTTGTTTTTTAGGTCCTTAATAATGTTAAATTATAGGAATCATATAGAGACTAAAAGCAAAACTCAATAAAATTATAGGGACCAATGATTGTGGTCCCCAAAAATAGATGTAAGGGATATATAACCTTCTTGCTTTTTTCAAAGTTTCTTTTTTCTTTTCTTTTTCTTTTTTTTTCTTTTTGACAAACATAACCAGCCATTGATAAATAAAAATTAGAAACCAGAACCATGGAAGCTAAGTATGTTGTTTTATGGGCTATTCTGATTGGTTTCATCCCCTTGCTGATTTCATTAGTATGGTTTAGGCATCTTTTAATGAAGTTCTACTGGAGAGGTTCCGAGTTGATTATGTGGGCACTGCTCCTTACCTAAGTTGCACTCCTTCTATTCTGCATCACCGACTTTCTTCTAGTGATCGGTTCTTGGTACTCTCGTCTGACGGACTTTACCAATACTTCAGCAATGAAGAGGTAGTTGCCCACATTACCTGGTTCATGGAAAATGTGCCTGAAGGTGATCCTGCACAATACCTGATTGCAGAGCTTCTCTTCCGTGCTGCTAAAAAGAATGGTCAGTTACCTCTCCCTTTTGTGCTCCTCTAGTACCAGTATGGTTGTGGATAATTTTGAAGTGGAATATATGTTATTTTAGACTGGAGAAGAAATGGGCAAATTAGTAGGATTAAGGCTGTGTTGTGGTGAGTCTAGCTTCTCTGCAGACCGTTGTCTGTAAATCACCTGCAAATTAAACTAAAAACCTCCTATTTACATTTAAGTTTGACATTAGACTTTCAGTTTCTGACACACACACACACACACACACACACACACAAAGATAGATACATAAATAGATCTGAGTGATCTGTTCAGCTGAGCAGTCTATCTAGTGTTGTGGAAGCATTGGTGGTAGCAGTAAAGGAGTTAAGTATGCTATCAGAATCATTTTGTGTCACTATGCCATGATGAATGCGCTATAAGCAGCTGCGTAGCAACTGCAAATGATCCAAGCTGGTGTGACTCCTGCGGTTTTTTTTTTTTCAAAGAGATCTTTGGTTGTGCACGTCCCCTTCCTGGCTGCCTTTTTTATGTTTTTCTTCAAATACAAGCATCTCTTTCAACAGAGTTAATTTATATTTAATCTGTTGGCCCTCTAGTATTGATGATCATATCTCCTTGAGAAGAAAACCGCCTTGTAGATAGCGTCAGATGATAGTGGTATCGGCATGTGAAAGTTTTGGTGTGTAGATATTTACCCAGTCTGTCAGAGAGTTGTTTTCTTTGAGGTGTGGAAATCCTTCAAATGCTTCTGAGAAGAGATGATCACTGTCACCATCTGTTAGAAATCATGAAAATAAAATCTTAGGCCAAAGTATATTTTTGGATCTCTAACTTCATTCTTTATATGAAGTTTCAATTTGATTTTTTAATTTTATGAAATATATTTTCAATGCTTTAACTATTAGTTTTAAATTATTATTTTTTGTGTTAATTTTTATTATTTTTAAAAAAATTAAATTAGGTATGTCAATATTTGAAAATGTTTTGTCAATATTTAAAAATTCAACTGAAATTGTTTTTGTGATGAAACTAAAGGTGTTAGGATTAAAGGACTGAAAAACACTTTATAAAATTAAAGAATTAAAATGAAAATTTATTTAAAACTAAAGGATTAAACATATATTTTAGCTTAAAATTTTAGCACTGGACAGACTTTTTTCTTTTATTTTCATTTTTTCATATGATTATTATGGATGGGATTTTTGATTTAATTTTCTGTTGCCCTTGTAGGAATGGATTTTTATGAATTGCTTGACATTCCTCACGGAGATCGACGTAAATATCATGACGACGTTTCTGTTATGGTGGTTTCTCTGGAGGGAAGGATTTGGAGATCATCTGGATGATTCTTTTCTTTTTCCCCCTTTATATGCTTTATATTTAAATTTTGGCTAGGTGCCTTCATATTTGCACGTTCCCTTGATAATTATAACAATTTTGAGGAAGGAGTAACATGATTTCAGAAATCATCATTAGCCATCGATTATTACGTACAGAGCATAGTTCGCTGTAGTGATTCAAGTCATTCAGGAATTGAAGTTTGGGTGCAGAATTTAGTATTGCTTTTAGCTCAATGAAATTAATTTTATCCGCGCTGGTCATTCGGGAATTGAAATAATTTCTTGTCATTATTTTTCTGTAATAAAAGATGTGTATTCCATGCGTCGGGCGAGGGCTTAACTTTGAAAGATGCTTAAAAAAATAAAAATCGAAATATATAAAATAATGAAGAAGGAACTCATCCCGTCGCGGGGAAAATGGTGAAGTTCGAAAGCCACAGTGAAACTGAAGCGGCGGTAGAGGTGTCGCATCGCCTTCTTAAGTTCCAGTTCTTTCTCGAAAGTCTGTCGCTGGCATTTGGTTTTCATTAGCCTGTCTTTTCTTTTTAACCGCTCTTTTTCTTCTCTGTTTTTTGTCCTTCACCGACGCTACGTGCCAACCAGAAAGAAATGATAGAAAATTTATTTATTTTTAATAAGACATGATATAATATTCCATTAAAGGAGCCAAACACTTTAATTTACGTGCGTAGACATACATGGATTCTTTTCAACATCCCCCACATCTTTATAACAAATTTGAGGCTGATCAAACGGATAAAAATACCTTCAATATCATATGCTTATTTGGCAAGATTGTAGGTACAAAAGTAGACCCTTCTATACTTAAAATTTAAAGACGCCAGATTAATGTTGTTGGAGCAGCTCGTTGCATGCTTGATAAATCTTTGAAGGAACGTTGGCTCATATTAATTTTAGTAATCAAGTTGATGGCCTCAACACAATATTGTGAAAATATTAATTCTCTAAAGATCTAGATTATAGCAAAAATCATATCCCTGTGCAATTCCAATAATTCCATTAATTGACAAATAAAATTTATGAAACACCCTATGATTGGATAAAACTTGTCAGCTTATCACCTTACATCACTTACCAAACTCCCACACCTGCACTGGATTCTCATCGAATCAACGACCGCGTGCCCCTTCCAACTAACAAAGCAACACGTAGGAGTCCCATGAAGTATTATTCACCTTAACCAGCAAATAATGATGCTTAAAAAGAATGCCAGCGATTCCTTCCCTGCATTGCTTTAAATTAAAGCCTCGAGGACTTTGCTTCTGCTTTAGCGTCACATTACTCTCCACATCTCCCTCCCCTTTCCAAACAAACCCCCCCCCCTCTCTCCCTCTGTGCCTATATAGAACAAAACCCCCAACTTTTCCCCACCATCAACACTACTTTCCTCTCTTCTCTTTACCATTCATCATTCCCATCATCGTTTCAACTCAACCATGTCGCCAGCATGTATCTTTGCTCTCCTCTTCATCTTCATCTTCATCAATTCCCTCTCCTTCACCTTGGCTTCTGATCCCGACACGCTTCAAGACCTTTGCGTCGCTCTTCCCTCTTCCGGTACGCACTAATTAATCTCCCTGCCTCGCCGGCCTTGACTTATATTATGGTACTTTAATTTCACTGTGCGTATGAATGTGTAATGTGTGCATGATCAGGAGTGAAGGTGAATGGATTCGCGTGCAAGAACGAGGCAAACGTGACGGCAGATGATTTCTTCTTCGCCGGGATAGCGAAGCCCGGTGTGATAAACAACACGGTGGGTTCGTTGGTGACTGGAGCGAATGTGGAGAAAATCCCAGGGCTTAACACTTTGGGCGTGTCTTTCTCCAGAATAGACTACAGGCCTGGGGGGCTTAACCCACCTCACACACACCCTCGAGCCACGGAGATGGTGTTCGTCTTGGAGGGAGAATTGGGGGTGGGATTTGTGACCACGTCCAACAAGTTCATTTCCAAGAACATCAAGCAAGGCGAGGTCTTCGTCTTCCCCAAGGGTCTGCTTCACTTCCAGAAGAACAACGGAGATAAGCCTGCTTCAGTAATTTCTGCTTTCAATAGCCAGCTACCTGGTACCTTGTCCGTCGCTGCGGCTCTCTTCACCGCCACACCGGGTGTGCCTGATAATGTCCTCGCTCAAACCTTCCAGATTGGTACTAAAGAGGTCGACAAAATCAAATCCAAGCTTGCTCCCAAGAAGACTTGATTAATTACAACGGGGCATGGTCTTGTAAAATTTTCCCTTTTCTCTTTACGCTATTAATTCTTGAAGGGTTTTGGTTGTGATGTTGCGTCTTGCCAAACGACATGATATTTGTTCAGTATCCAATAATTGTAATAGTTTATAAGGACACTTTTACCAATTAAACTGCGTGGAGTGTACGTGCCTTGTAATAATCATATAGCGCTTGAAAAGTGCAAATCTTTCGTCTTTTGTTTGCACACTCTAGCCCTCCAGCTCTTGGATTATTTCTCTCTTGCCCTCTTTTCTTTTTTCACGTGAAGGTGAACACCGGACAACAGTATGCGAGAAAGGAATAGGAACCAAACTTCCGGGAGATCAAAATCCGTTCTGGTCTCGTTAGATCGTGCCGCTAATTATAATCAAGTCAGTCGGTATGATAAGATGGGGACATCCTACACATCAAATCCGAAAATAAATGACTGTCTCTTTGATTATAAGTCAATGAGTAATAGTATATGATGGGATTTTTTCCATTATTACTCCTATATTGATGATTAATATACCGAATCTTTGGATCATTTAACATGACAATAATAATATTTTAAAATCTTGCTCGTGTTTAACTCAGGTTATGACTGGCTGGCGGAGAAAAAGTTAATATCCATCAAGGAAAAGTGATTTGAATATCTTTCGTAAGTAACGAGAACGAGACTTTTTTTTTTTGGTTTATGATGCGTGGAAAGATAATAATTATTATTTTTTCTATTGCGAATCAGATCTGTTGAATTGTAATTTGCAATTGTGTAAATGTTTATTTTCTTTAAAATTATACTTTTTTTTATATGCGTAAATGTTTATTTTTAGGCCAAAAGAAAAAAGAACTGTCCCAAAAGCGTGAATGTGTAATCGACTCGCGTGAAGTGAATTCGGTTCGTCCTCAAGTTTTCTTTCTACCCAAAAAAAAAAAAAAAGCGTGTGGGAGACGACATCTTTCAAACTGTGTCGAGGGCCGCCACGCATGCTGATTGATTGAGTTAGCTGCTTAGACCCGGAGCCCGAAGGATGGAAGAGGCGAAATACAAGCAACAGCGAAAGAAGAACTATAGAAAGAGAAGTGCTTCAATCGAAGAGACGGAGGATAAAGAAGGAGAGCAACCTAAAAGAGAAGAATCCGATGATGAACGAGAAAGAAGGTTCTGCAGTTTGTTCTATTCGATTCTTCTTTCTATAAGTTATGAAGAACTATAAATTTGGTATCAGGATTTTTAATTTCAAATTTCTATTAAGATTCCATATATTGATTCAATTATCCTGAGATAAATGACAATGACTATATAGAATGGCATTGGAAGAGATCAAACTGCTCCAGAAGCAGAGGGAAAGGAAATCTGGGATTCCTGCGAACCCTAGTTTACCAATGCAGAGTGGAACCGGCGCCGGTTTAGCTGTGAAAGCCGCCGACAAGAACGACGGAGACGGTGGCGATAAGGACGAGCTTGTTCTTCAGGACACTTTTGCTCAAGAGACTGCTGTCATGGTTGAAGACCCCAATATGTATGAACGTTTATATAAATATTTCTCCCCTCATCTCATCCATATACTGTCCACGCTTACAGTGGATAGACCCTACATCAGTTTGAATTTTGATGATCTTGTTCCCTTAGTGATGAAGTTCTGCCTAGTTTTTTAGGTTTGCACGGCTTTTATATCTTGTTCCCTCCTTCTTATGGTCTCATCTAGCCTCATGTTCAGTCTGTTATTTTGTTTGTTTTGTTTGGTATATTATGGGTTTCTTTTTTTGGTTGGTTAAGTAGTTTTCCCCTATGAGTTTCTAATTCCTTCCAATGATTTAGGGATTTCTTTTTTGTCTTTTTCCCTTTTCTCTTTTTGTTTGTAGTTATAAATATTCTTTTGTATGCCCCGAACTTGTCAATTGTTATTGATAATTGGTGAACTCATCATGTTACTTCTTGAATAGGGTCAATTATGTCGAACAAGAATTGGCAAAGAAGAGGGGCAGGAAAATTGACAAACCAGATCAAGTTGAGAGTGAATTGAAACGTGCTGAAGATGAACTATATAAAATCCCTGAGCATCTGAAAGTGAGTGGTTGGCTTTTCTAATAACATGTCACCGTCATTCCATTTTATTGTTCTTACTACTGACTGTTCTAGGTTAAACTTTACATGAATGACTTGTCTCCTAGTCATTATATGATATTCTGGTTCCATCTTATACTTTTCATAATTGATATGCATTTCCTTCCAGGAGGTTCTTTAATTTTCTTTTATGATAACATGTTCTGTCAGGTGAAAAGGCGAAACTCAGAAGAAAGTTCTACTCAGTGGACTACTGGTATTGCTGAGGTGCAGCTTCCAATCGAGTATGATTTATCCAGACCCAATGGAATATTGTGTAATTTGGATTATTTGTTAAGGAAGTGTATACTGTGGCAATTGCTGGACAATTTCCTTTCAATTCAAACACTAGCTTGAAGAGTGATCCATGTGGGTGATAATTGGATATGTAGGTTTAATATAATTTTGTTGTTGAGGAGTAACGTTCGGATATTAAAGATGTAGGGTATGCTTTTGTCTGAAATTAGTTTTCTCATCATCTTTTTGGGGGTTTTGTTTTTATATCCCTATTATTGCTTGTCTCTCATGTGCTGCCAGCGGCAGGTCTCATTGTTTCATTTTATGTTTGCAGATACAAGTTAAGAAACATTGAAGAAACAGAGGCCGCCAAAAAGCTTATACAGGAAAAGAGGCTCATGGGTCGGGCAAAATCAGAGTTCAGCATTCCTTCGAGTTACAGTGCTGATTATTTCCAGCGGGGCAGGGATTATGCTGAGAAACTTAGAAGAGGTTACACTCTTTCATCAAGTAATTTTGTACGAAATGTGTTTGTTTGTTATTAGGTTGCACTGTGAACCATGATTTTACTGCAAATATATTTGTTTTGCTTTTACTCTCTCACTTCTTAAATTATTTTAGCTACTGACAACAAATGAATAACTTGCAGAACATCCGGAGCTGTACAAAGATAGAAGCTCACAGGATGATGGTGCTGGATCCAAGCAAAACAATGCAAGTGCTGACACAGCAGGGCAGAGGCAAGCTGCAACTGATGAATTCATGCTAGAGCGATTCCGGAAGCGAGAACGCCACCGGGTAATGCGGAGATGACATCCATGTGAAATAGTGTGGCATATTGCCTGGAACAAGGTCCCAATAAAGTTAGCAGTTCACTCCAACCGGTGTTGAATAACATGACATCTGTGCTTTGCGTCACTTCCTGACTTCCTGGTTATTCAACACTATTTAATATTGTATTGCTGCCAACGTATCAACTCCCTAGCTCTCCATTCTTTTTTCATCCACGGACTGCATGATGTGGCTGTTTCCAGGTGGCGTATGCTGTGAGGCAATAATATGTCTGACGGCTGGTCGTTGATCACATTCTGTATGTAAGATATATATGCTACATAGACGATTTTGGCGAAAAATGGTAGGTGGTGACGGTGCTAAATGGTTATTTCATTTTGGTCCCAAAAAAAAGTTGGTCAGTGGTCACGTTGTTAGTTTATATCTTTATCCTTTTATTTTGACAAGTATTGGGCAATCTCAGTGAATTGCATTCGAGTTTGGAAAAGTTGAATTTCCCTCATGAAAGGACCATATTCCTGGCTTCAATCTCGCGCCACTATCTTTCTCTTCCACACCCCCCCCCAACCCCCCAAAAAAAGAAAAACAGAATGTTCTGCTTCCTTATAATTTTAAACCCTTTACCGGTGTCTCTGAATATGAGAAGTTAATACAACATGCGTATGCAGACATTTACAAGCCGTAAATCCATCACACTCGTTAGACTTGCATGGCAAATATATTGATATATATCCAAGGTGGTGGGCATCGCTGCAAAGTGCTAGTGTTGCTGTGCCACAACCACTGGGAATTGGAAGCGTACATTGTTTTTACGGACAAAGCAAGAACTGACGAGAAACAAGGGAGACGTGCGGAGGTGAAGGGGAAGAACAAGATCCAATAGTAATAATTTAAATTCTCCCCTTCAGAACTGGACGTTGCTGACGAAGGACTGGCCAAATCTCCAGTTGGAGGGTGCCACGTTATAAGCCGTACGATACCTGCCGTTGCTGAGTTGGACTCTGAAAGACAAGCTCTGACCGTTGAGATAGCTTAGGCTCTGCCAGTTAGCACCCCAATTCCTGGACATGGTTTCCCAGTTAGTCATCCTGGACCCTTTGATCCAAACTCGTGAGATTTCTCCAGCACCTCCCATGTTGCTTATTAGCACAAGCTCGAAATAGTCTCTCCCATTTATGGTAAACCTGATGCCTCCGCTTCTCTTGCACCCAACCCTGCACAATAGTTTTCACCTCTATTCAGTATCCATCACCTTGCACGTTTTAAAGCTCTCATATAAAATCCTAGAAAACATCAACCCTCATTCGTAAACACGCTTTAAAAATACATGTCAATTCTTACTCTTTCAATTTTGTGCTTCGTCTAACTCTCATGGACAAATAGAAAGGGAAATGAAGTACATGATTTACACCTTGTTCGGTAATTAAAAAATGGCACTCATCGTCCTAAATTAGTGAATTGATTTTTTTTTTTTTAAAGCATTACTGAACCCGTGCTGGACTGCTGTGATGCACATTCCACCCTATCCTTGCCGTATAAACTAACTCTGACATTTTTCAAGGCAAACTCCCCGTGACTGTGGCCTCTTCTTGTTATTATTTATAAGGATATTTTTATCAATTCTTCATCCTTTTTATTGAAATGTAATATTCTTGTTACTATCAATGTTATACCAAAGATATATATTTTGTATCATAGATCTATTCTCTCTTCAAATGCAATAAATAATTGTACAATAAAATAGATAAGAGTTGAAAGGTTTTGGCTTGTTACTGATAATTCCCTTGGACCAAGTAATTGCAAAGAAGAAAAAACAGACTCAAGGAGTAATCAAAATATATATATATATATATATATATAGAGAGAGAGAGAGAGAGAGAGAGAGAGAGAAGCGAAAGGGACGTACCGTCTGTAGAAAATGGGAACAATCCCGGCTCTGTACTTGGCTATGGTCTCAAAAGCAGGCTGGGACATGTCGAAATGAGGTCTGGGAGGATTGCACCAACCACCATTGTCGTTGGGAAGAGCATAGTTCGGAGGGCAGAAATTTGTGGCTGTGATTGTGATGTGAGTCCCTCTGAGGCACCACTGTGGCGCTTGTGTTGCGTCGCACACTATCTGATAGCATCCACCGCATGCCTTCCCGTCGTTGAACAGAACGGTGCTCAATGCTGCCGTTTTGGTCCCATAACCATCCGTGTATAGATTCCCATAACCACATGCACCTCCTGCGATCCATAATTCCATACACTATTAGTAATGCAACAGCAACTAGTAATGAAGAGAGAATGAATTCATGAATTCACGTGCAATTACCCATTGTGCCCGACGCATCGCTTCCACCGTAGAATGTTGCATGTGCTCCCAGCCAGCCGGCTCCGCACGCTGTTCTTACTTGCGTGGTGGATATCCCCACCAACGATATTACAACACTCAACAACACTAGCTTTTCCATCCTCTCTCTCTCTCAATATCTAGGTTTGACCAAGAAGAAGCTGATCGAGTTGTGGCTGAGGATAGCATAGTCCTAAGGGCTATTTATAGCTACAGTTAGGGAGGTTACAGAGGAAGAAGAAAAGAAAAGGGAAGGGGAAATGGCATATGCGTTGACCCAGAAGTTCCTCTGCCATATTAAAATAAAAAAAGAATGGGAGAGTCATGCATTATAGAAATAACCAGTTGTCAATGACCCTCAACTCATTCAAATTACACAGCGATGCTAGATTGAATGATTGATATCAATTTAAGGCATCTTGTAACTAGCTGATTACACATAGATGCTACTTTCCCCCAATTTGAATGGTTCAAAGAATCTCATGCTTTGCTTGCTCGGGATATTCTTAACATTTTTGACCCACTTAGTGGTTGTTGTTTTAACATTACCCAAAAAAATCCATATCCTACAGAACAAAACTAGGAAACATTAACCAGATTATACATGAACATAGTAAATACACCGTAAAGTCAGTTACAAGGGTTTCATATGTAGCAACTCACTCGCTTCCAAAAGTCAAGTTATGCATTTGTCGGTAATAGAATCCGTGATTCCGTGGTACGTAATGGGTACAATCATAAAACAATTGGCGCAGCATATAGCAACATGCAGTGAACTACAGAATAAAAAAATAGTGATAAAATATACTCTTTTTATTTAAAAAATAAAAAATATAAGGTATTTTTAATCAGACCACACATATAATGAAATAGTTAGTTATTTTTAAATTAATATCATTTTTTATATTTACTCCTATTTAATAAGATGTTTCATTTTAAAATAAATATAAAGTAATTTATTTATTATGAATATTTTTTTTAAAGTACATTAATTATATGTTGAAATACTAAATTTTTTTATATTTTTAAATATCTAAACATTTAAATAGTGCTTTACATTTTTTTATTGGAGAGAGAATATGTTAGTTGAGAGAAGAATATAATACTCCAACCCATATTCCAAATGGTAGTCCGTATGAATACGGAAAGTCAATTAGTACACGCAATAGAACAGCACAAGAAACTGCATTTTATAGATGCAACGCATAGACGCGACTTGGAGGGTCAGAACTCAGAAGTAACATGCAAGTACCTTAGGATATGCAATAGCCGCGACTTAATAATGAAGAAAGGGCCATATGAGCAACAAGGAGAGAAGAGGATGAAGTAGTCAGCCTTAAAAGTTAAAAATGTCTGAATTAGCTGAAATTAATGATGGCTTGCTAGTAGATATGCCTTGTATTGTGCCATGTCTTGTGGAACTACCATCCTTATGGCACATGGCTGATGCCATGCCGCCTCTGCCCAAGTACTCTTTCACACACGTACCTAGCTACATTGTAGAGCGGCTCTTTTTGCATATTCTCTCCGGTCCACTTTATATGTCACATTTTAAAAAAATGAAATGATTTATTTTATAAATCATTAAATTGATAGTGATGATTTATCTTAAATAAAATGCTTAAACTACCTTTTAAAAAATGTGAGAGAGAAAAATAAAAAAAATATATTATATAGTTTATTTACTTTTTTATAATTATGTCTGTAATTTTACAAAAATTTATTCTTTGTACCTTTATTGTATTGGTATTGATAAGATTAGTAGAAATGACTTATAAATAGAATCTGAGGGAGTATTTCTTAAAGTTATTTTCAGGTATACATAGGAATGATCTAAAGTCTATAAGAATGAAGAAAAAGGCAAGCATGTTAGATTAGAATGGCATATATAAATCAAACCCAATTATGGAGTTCAAGCATAACTGATTATATATATATATATATAGGATCACAATCAGAATTAACTGAACCTGAAATAAAAAATTAGATCAAATTAAGTCCTCTGCAAAAATCAATGGGGGAATAAGCTCATAATCGTTTGCACACACATGTATAGGTAATTAGAACATTTAAACAGTCCGTGAATCCCCTTCCAGAAATTTCACTCCTGATACTTATTGGGCATTCAATGTGTCATAAATTAACCGAATTTTTCTTCTCGATAGATACTGTCCTCTGTCATTTCCCTTTTTATGATTGATTTAACTTTGTGCCATATGTAAGATATGTAGCTGCCTAACCGACGACATAAATTAAACAAGGGCACACTAAGCTAGTCGAACTAATGAAAGATCCCAGGATTGCATTTGATGCATACGAGATGTCCCAGTCACTAAGTGGACCGCGACTCGGTAACTAACCAAATAATCCTCAAGTAAAGCCAAAACCAAGGTTGTTGGTGATTCTAAGGGATTTGTTCTCCACGTCCGCAACAGCGATCTAAAACTGGTGTATGTATGATGCCGAAATATAATCTCAATCCAACTTAAATTGGAAGTGTTGGTAAATATCACCCCAAAAAAAAGAAGTGAACATTATTATTATTATCATTATTATTTTTACCCTCTCCCTCAATTGCTTTTAATAAAAGTGGGGGTTTAGTTTTACAGTTCAGCCGCACGACTCCTCTGGTTTTTTTTTTTTTATTGTACTCCATTCTTTTCAAATTACAAGATGAGACAAGATTACTCGCATCAACAAAACACAATAATGACACTTTATAAGTTTACTTTCTCATAATAAAATTATAAATTTTTAAAAATACTCTTATACACTTAATTATTTTGTTTTAATATTATTTTAATCATGTCTTTATTTAAAGGGTAATATTAAAAAAATATAATTAATAAAATGTTATTTTTTTAAAATTGTTTTATATTTTGAAACAATAAATTCCTCAAAAATTGTTTTATGGGTTGGAATGGAAAGAGTAATTTTCATTATTCACAACTAAAGTTGTAGTATTTTACAAGATGAAAATTTTAGTTTTAATACTGACCTAAACCTCTAATTCCAACAGCTCCCTGGCGACAGGTTGCACCATCCAAAAAATCGCAATAAAAGACTACTCAGCTGGCGTCTTGCTTCTCTACTACTAATCTGCCGTGTTCCTCCATGTATCCTGGACTCTTATTGTATATCCATTTCAGTTACATTGTCTAAAGCTCTTAAGAGTAGTCTCCCAGCCAAGATTAATGGTTATTATTCAAAGTCAATTATTAGCTATAAATTTGTACTTAGAGTCCAAATACTTCTTTTTGTAAATAGGTACTTGGCTAGTCATTTAGGTCATGTTTAGTACTATGGAATAAGAGATAATGAAATGAGAATGAGAGTAAGAAAGGCTCATTATCTTATACCGTACTCCTCCATATTAGTCACCTATTAGAAGCATAATTTTGTCTACTTTATAAATTACTAATTGATGGGATTGTTTTGTTTTAAATTAAAATTTTTAAACTACTCTTAAAAAATAAGAGAGAACAAGATAGAAAAAATAATATATTATTTATTTAATTTGTATTTTTTACTTAAGGTTAGATTTGGAATGATCCATTACCTCGTTTGAGGTATCACTAAACAACGGGAATGGGATCCATTTCATGGGAATGAGTTCTTGGATGACCAAATTCTCCTTGTGATTTGTCAAATTCCAATTCTGTCCAAATCCCTAATCTATCTCTCTCACCCTCCGCCGTTCGCCCCCTGTCTTTTTATCACCGTTTTCTCACCAGCGCCGGATGCGCTCTCTGCTCCCATCTCTCATGTCCTCCATTGCTCATTTTCGTCATCGATCTTTGTGAACCTCCCTCACCGTCATCGAGTTTTTGGGTTCATTGAGATTGTGATAAGGTGGTGTTGGAGAGGAATTTTTGTTTTTTTTAATCTTTGGATATGTTGTATTTGATTCGTTAGGCTGTGATTGGCTTAAAAAAATTGCTTTTGGTTTCTGGAATCTGGATGATTTCATGCATGAGGACAGTAGAGTCTTGACAAGAATATTTTAGTATTTTAATAATATAATTACAGATATAAAATAAAAATTATATCATCATTCTGCCAGCACACCAAACATACTTTTTAATTTCATTTCCATTCTCATTCTTATTCCATCAAAAATCATTCCATTATATAACAAACGGGACCTTAGAACATTAAGTGGTAGTGAGTAAAAAAATGAGAGAGGAAAGAAGAAAAAAATTAAGATGAGTGGTGTGGAATGAGAAATAGTAGTCGGTGATGAAAAAGTAGAGGGTGTGAAAAATAGGAATTGATAAGGAGGGAGAGGGAGTGAAAAAAATTGAGTTGCATGAGGTATATTATAATTTGAGTTTGCAATAATTTTTTTTTATTCAAATACCTCAACTTTTTTCTTAAAGTTTCTTGGATCTTTCCTCCTCATAAATCCAATGTAAAGTCTTCGCGTTGACAAAATATCTGATAACGCTTGCACTACAAAGCCTCGCTAACACCCCCGTGCTTGCTCTGAAGTAACCCCGTTTCCGTTGTAGCACATGTTTTCTGCCTTGAATAGTTAACCACTGCCAGTGCAATTTCCACGGTCACATATTTTAGCAACTAACGTCACCATTTAAACTGATCATAACTTTCCGTTATTGGCATCTACTTTAGAACTTCTGCAATTTTTAACCCAACTCAGCAAGGCTGAATGCAAAATCGAATTTTTGCACGAGAGCAGCAACAAAGCCAACCCATAACATATTGCAATTTTAACTTTTTGCTTTTGTTGTTCACTTCTATATAGATTTCTTATCAAAGTCATGATAGGGCAATCCAAGCATGGCGCGTATTTGAAATGTTATACACATAACATACATAATTCCAAAATGGTTTGAATTTGTTACACCACCCTTTTGGCCATCACTCCAAAGTTAATGATAACGCAGCCAAGCATTGTTAAGGCATGCTTGGGTACTTGAACAGTTGAACATGGACCATCAAATTCAATAGTCTCTTGATTCTTGAACATACTTGTACTGAGAATTATTAGCAAAGGATAAGCTTAAGTCTAATATGAAAACCACGGCAACAATATGATACAATGTCCTTAATCACACTGATGATTCACAGTTCGGAAATGAGTTATTCGGGCAAAACATCTAATAAACGAAAATGATTCAAGAAAATGACATCATTAAAGTAGCATGATCTGGTTCTTGCTTGCCGCTGATAATGATTTGGTGTGCACCATATGCAACTGTAGGAGAGAATGGTATAATATCAACTGAAAAAGTCACGTTCTAGGACTTCAACTAGAAAGCCTAGGCGTGACTGACTATGAACAACAGAACAAAGCAAGCATCTATTTTTGGCATTTTAGTCTTAAGATGGAAAAAGGAGTATTCTGGGCATTCGCAGCAAAATAATTTAATTAATGAACAGAAATCCATGAAGATTTATAAGAGTGAGAAGCATCTGAGTGGCTACCTAATGTATATATCTAGTTGTTTATTCCAGTGGTAACCATAAAACGTTTTCTCCTTGTCTGACACCCAATCAAAGCAACACTATAACTGATTAGGTTTTCAGGTCAAAGTGTTAGAAATTTTAGTCATTCGGCCGCCCATAGATTTCTTTTACTAGCAAAAGGGAACTACTTACATGTTCAACTCATGAACGAAACATTCTAAACCTTAGAACTATTTAGTCAATCCACTGACAATGATGAGATTCGTTCCTTAGATTTTAATTAGACAACAGAGCAAAAAGATCCATGCTTATTAATTAGAAAAACGACGTATAACATCTCAATAACAAACTTCCAATAATGATAGGTTTTGGGAATGCTGAAATAATCTGCAATAATTTGATCAAGGGAAGCTGAATTCAACCAACTGAAATGTATAAAAAGCGAGACAATTTACCAAGCATAATTGACGTCCATGGATTTAAATAAGGAAAATTACCTTCACTAATCAATGTGACTATGGTGAAGTAAATATCGAGCATTATGCAGAACAATATTGGTTTCCTCGTTTGATGCATCAAGTGTCCGCAATTCTTTGATCTCTTCCTGCCATTTCTCTATTTGCTCCTTGTGAATCCTGCAGATGAGGCAGTTAAAGGATTTTTTTTTCCCCTTTTTGTGGGAGGGGTTGGCGGGGAAGATTAACTACAACTTCATAGCTCACATGATCAGCCTCTCTTCAAATTCATTGCTGAGTTCTTTAAACATTGTTTTCCCAGATTCCAGTAGCTCTGACACCTACAAGAACCCACAGAGTCATTTAGCTGGTCAAACAACACGCATAGAAAGTCATTTATATCTAGTCTTGTAACATAAGCAATGTCCCAAAGGTAAATTGTGTCAATGATTAGTATGCAGAGGAAAATATGAATCTACACTCAGTGTATAATCACTATAGCTACCCTCTGCGTGAAATTTTCAATCTTCTCCAGAATATTGGAGATATTAAGCTCCATCTCTTCGGATCCGGCAACATGCATCTCAGATTCATCTTTTTCTTCAATATGTGCTCCTGCTTCATCTTCCTCCTCTTCCATCTAATTATTGTAAAACAATCAACAACACGAAATATGGTACAAGAAACAAGAGAAAAAAAAAAAGCACGATAAGGAAGAAAGAGACGGAATAAAATACATCTGGTCTCATGCGTTTTCTTGCAGCTTCACTCCCAGGGCTTTCCATTTCTGTTGATGTTAGTTAATGCTGCAGATTGGTTACACAAAAAGCGGAACTATAACGTGGATCTCCTTTTAAATATACTAATCAGAAATCAACTCAAAATTCTTTCAAAATAGAAATGAAAACATAAAAGAATTGTCATACATCCGTATGCAAAGGTCAAGTGAAATTAACCACGGCGGAACTCTGGCAACATCAACAGGTTTTCATTCCAAGCGAAGTATCTTTACTGTATGTATTTAATTGCCATAAATTCATCGAAGGAAGCGAAAGAGGTTATCCTTCCCTTATTTTTGTTTTTGTCAATTCCAGATGGCCTTTTTTTTTTTTTTAATCATCTAAACACAGAATCCATGAGATTTCGGAACAGAGCGGTAATGAAAAAGAATTGAGTACATAGCTTCCACGACTAGCAGAATCCACGTTAAATCGCAAAGCATCCTGGCGATGACTACGAAGGAGAAAGTCTTAGAGCTAACATGATTTCAATGAGAACGCAATCCTAAAACAGCATATTGATGAAATCAAAGAAACGAAGGCAAACTGTATAATTCCATGCATAATTGATGAGAAAATAATATCGCGGAAAAGAAAAGGATCATAAAATAATAAATGCTGATAGATTTGCATTATAATTGTGAAATCCATGAAGAAACGAACAAAACTAGTTTTACGTTTTACCGATTACTTGTTCCGGTTGATCTGATATAAACTTTTTGGCGCTTTGGAAGAAATGCTTTGCCTCTTTAGCCGTATGTTGCTATCTGAGAAGGCCAGCGGTGGCTGTGATTTTTCCGCCAATAGCAATTTGTTTAAATATAAAGGACGCGCGCGTTTTCTACCTCCTGAGTCCTGAGCAACAGAATGGGCCGTCAACTGAAATTGGGCTCAGAAATTATCGTAGGATGGGAGACAATATGGGCCTCCAACAATTAGATCCATTTTTTTTTTTTTTATAATCAAATAGATACGGACGTAAGAAAGCAAACGCGCAATTCACAACTCTTTCAGCTCGAGGGAAAACAACGTGCTAATGAGATGACAGGTTTGGGTGAGTGATTTTATTTTTTAAACAGCTCGTGGAAAAGAGGTGTGTATTAATTAATTAATCAATTAATGTCAACGGAATAAAATGATGCCTAAATCGTGCCAAGAAGTATAATGTGTGGAGTGCTTCAGGTAATGTACAGTTGGAGAGAGAGAGACGGTGTTGTTAGAGCTTATGAAGCCCAATACCTCACGTATCTGGCCCAAATGTACAAGCCCAGTTTCTGTTATAGTTGGTAGAATTACTTCAAACAGGACTAGTTTACTGTTAATACAAGAGGTTAAGTCTAGTGTTAAGGGACTGATCTAAATGCTGAGGTTGTAAATCAGATCATGATTATCACAATAAGATTTATCCATTCAGACCATATCAGGAGCACTTGCTGATTCAAAGCGGAAAACTACTGTTCACGATGAGTTTGATGCATTAAAACGTTTTAATACTTTGACTCTTGTTCCCCTACCTGAAGGGTGTCGGCCTGTAGGATGCAAATGGCTATTTAAGGAAAAGAAAAATGCTGATGGACAGATAGCTAAACTGAAGGTTAGACTTCTTGTTCAAGGATACTCACAGGAAGAAGAAGTGAACTGTAATGATACCTTTAGTTTAGCTGTAAAACCTGCTTTTATTTAAATTCTACTAACAGTTAGAGTTAGGAATACAGACGGACTCGGCCTTTAAGGACCTGGCTCTTATGAGTTCAGCCTTTATAAGTCTTAACTCTAAAGCCTGGTTCTCTATTTTAAACTCTATTTCTCAAGCCCGACCTTTATGTGAAAGACTCAGGGTCGGGCCCGCAAGCCCTTTTTCAAAAAAAAATAAAAAATAATAAAAATAAAATTAAACATTATAAATTAATTAAAATATTTTGAAATTAAAAAATAAAATTCTCATAATTTTTTAAAAATTAAACAACACATGTCTAGGAGTCTAGTAATAAAATTTAAATTTTGGTTTAAAAATAATTCATTTTTTATAAATACACAAACATAATAATTATAGAAAAATAAAAAATATTAGGAATTTTATATTATACACTGATATTTATTGAATTATATTAAATTAATTTTAAAATAAATTATAATTAATAATAATATAATGTGTGTAGGATCAGGTGAGCAGATCATTGATTTTAAACACGTGTTTTATCAAAATAATAATAATAATAATAATAGAGTTTGAAGAGTTACTCGAATTCAAGCCTTTTTTTATAAGGCTTATCAGGATCAAGTCTTTAAACTCGACTATTTTAAAAAAATTATTTTTAAAATTTAAATTTTTATTTAAATAGGACTTTTAAGTTTTACGTTACATGTCCGATCTTTATTTCTGATATTAGCGACACTTGCTGTCACTCATGGTCGGAGTCTTCAACGCGACGGCAGGAATAAAAGACAAATCCGATGGCGGGGATTCGCATTGCTACATAGGTATAAGTGCTAGCAGGCAACGATGTGTTGAATATTATAGATACAGCGAACAATTCCTGATTAAAAATTAGAAAATTCTCATCACTACAAAAATAAACAATAATTTTTTCAAAAAAAAAAACAGAGAGAATTTCTTTCATAATTTCTCTCAAAAAAATCTCTTTTAAAAAATTAATTACACAATTTCTTACAGAAATTTAAATGGAGAAAAATTCTGAGAGAACGATGTGAGAAAAATAGGGGGAAAAAAACCTGCTTAATGATGGAAAAAATGTTAATCTGTGAAAAATGTTTAACAGAAACCAAAAATTGGTATTAAAAAAAAAAACTCTTCGTTAACTTGAAGTCGTGCTGTGTAATTTACTCAAAAGTAACTGAACTGAATTTGTTCCGAAAACTGAATTTCATTACATGTATGTAGTTTAGACCCTTATTAATTATTTCAGTAAAAACCATTGACTGCAGCAGTTATAATTTATACACGTATATATGGATTACGCACTGTATATCGTATTCAATTTGCAGATGCAATCATGTATTACTAGTTTATGCCATCCTAATCATTTTTGGAACCCGTGAGCTTCATATTAAGGCAACATATTTCTGTTTATTCCTAACCAACCCGCAATATGTAGCTTCCAAAACGACGTAATTTCCTGTTTGTTGGTTACAAGAGAATAAATTATATAAGCAAAAGCAAGATTCCCGTAACATAAACGAAACCTTGCGGTCCATTATTGCAGATGTTTCTTCATAATTAAAATGAATAATAATACAATACACTTTTATTGGCAAGGATTTGACTTCTCTCCATTTTCTTCCCTCTCCATTTCCTTTTCACTTTCTATATCAATCATTGAATATATTTTTCAATAGTTTAGATTTGATATTTCATAAAATAATTATTAAAATATAAAATTTTAAAAAAATAAATATAATAATAATTTTATAAAACATCAAATTTAAATCATTGAAAAATAGATTCAATAGTTGATATGAAAAGTGGAGAGAAAATGAAAAGAAAAAAAAAATGAAGGGAAGCCAACTCCGATAAAAACATCTTACAAAATCACTATAAGTTAGTTGATAATTGGGTCACGAGTGTTAATTTAAGAAACTGCACGATGCCCAATAAGGAAGGTTCAAGTTCGAATGTTCACTGAAATACCACCCTTTTAAATTTTAATTATTCGGTCCCGGTGCCTATCAAGGGTGGTGCTCCTCGCTTAACCAGCATCTGAGCGGTCAGATTTAGAGATTTTATTTTTATTTTTTTTATAAAAATTATAAATTTTTAATACATTTATCTTATCATCAATTTCCACAATGTAAATTTAATTTGAATGAGATTATTTAATGTTATTTTTTTATAATTTTTATAAATTGACTTTCTATATATATTCTAGACAGTATGATTTAATACTAAATTTTTATAATTTTCATTTTAGTAAAAATAATATTAAAAATAAAAATAAAAATAATCTTCAAATTGGCACTTTAAAAAAATTAGGAAAAAATTTCAATTTAAAAATTTTAAATCTAGACTATATAAAGATATTAAATATTAAATTTGACCATCTTGATTAAACTTGCATTATTCAAATTGATGATATGATAGATTTATTAAAATTTATATTTTTTATTTTAATAAAGATAAAATAAAACTTGCAAATCTAGACTATCTCAATTTGCTAATTAGGTGATGGTGATTAGTTTCATGCTCATTATGGTGACGAGCACTATGGTGCTCATCATCTAATGAGCAATTTAGATTGTCCATATTTTTAATCTAGGTGGTCCATAATTTTTAGTTTTTTGTTTTATTTTATTTTATTTTTATTAAAATAAAAAAATAATAAATTTATTTTATCATCAATCTAAATAATACAGATTCAATTTAGATGGTTTAATTTAATATTAATTTTTTTAAATTAACTGTTGAGATGTACTTAAAATCCAGTCTGTCCAGATTATATTTTGATAATCAATTTATAAATTTTTTTAAAAATCAATATTAAATTAGATCATCCAAATCAAATTTATATTATCTAAATTGATGATAAAGTAAATTTATTAAAATTTTATAATTTTTTACAAAAAAAGAGAGGCCACAAATCTGGACACCTTTTTTTTTTAACCAACGATGGCACCAAGACCAAACCCTTAGGTGATGACCACTGAAAATGGACATTTAATTAGCTTACATTTGTACTGTTGTAAGTCAGGCTGCTTCGTATGCAGCTTAGAGAATGATGTAATTTTTTTATTCCTAATTCGACGCAGTCATATTCCTAAAAATATGAATGGAGATGAACATGATATATAAATCAAACTAGATCAATCCAATGAAATAATGAGAAATGTTGGTCAGAGATAATCGTTGTGCATTGGCATGAACATGGCATGTCTATCCGATTCCATTCCCAACCAAGAGACGCAACCTTTATATAATGGGTCCAAGCGATTTGAAGGATTTTTTTTCTTCTGGGTCATCCCCAGGAGCATTGCCACCATAATAAGCCAGGAAAATGTTACACAAGACTCAAAAAAATAATATAAGCCCCCTTAAAAAATTTTATTTGTCCTCATCATTTTTAAAAAATTGATTGGTCCTTTACAAAAATTCACTTATCCCATCTTCCCATGTAAAATTTGTTGACTTAGAAGGCTAAAAAAATCATCCCATCGAAAGACAGTTCTTTTATTTTTTATAATTTTATATTTTTTGCATGGTTTCTGGTATTTTATTGTTTTTGTCATATCCTTACTATAATTTTATAAATATTTTAAAAATATTTTTATAAAAATATGAATATTTATTTTAAATATAAATTATACCTCCTCTAACTCATTGTCCTGGATCCGTCACTAGTTTATCCCGAACCATATCCAATCACACGCCTTCGTGCCACGGAGGGACCAACCGTTACAGTAATCTGCATGCATGGCATGAGCTAAGACCTGTGAAATGGACACTCACCAACCCTAGTCTTATCGATTGCTCTTCATTCCCCCATCTATAAATATAAACCCCTCCATTTTCCACAAGACCAGAACCTGCTCAGAAACAAACATATCTACTGCCAGCTATTTACCATCCTGATTCACTTTTCGTAATTTCTTCAGTTTGGTAATTTTTGTTAAGCAGCGCGCTGCTAGCCTTTAATTCTCGCTAAAAGCAGTTGAATTTATAGTACCTATACAACGAGTCAAGTCAATTATTGTAGTGTCATCATATCTTACATTCATATTATACGTGCCTAATATATAGTCGTGACTCACTCTTCGTTCGTGAAAAAAGCAAATCAATTAGTATATGTAGTACTTAAATATCTCGTTTGAGTATATTTAATTAGGTTTTGATTTGCCGGCGTTTTCAGAGTACTTAGCTATGGAGTGGCATATATGTGTGAGAAACTTGGTTTTGCCGGCTTTAACGATGGCCTTATTGGTTGCCGCAAATGGGAATTGTTACGAGGGTGGTGACTCGGGCGGCAAATTCGTTCAACGAAGTGGAACCCATTTTATAATGAACGGCAAGCGAGTCTACCTGAACGGGTTCAATGCTTACTGGCTTATGTACATGGCATCTGACCCATCCACAAGATCCAAGGTCACCACCACTTTACAGCAAGCTTCACTCCATGGCTTGAACGTCGCAAGAACCTGGGCTTTCAGCGATGGAGGTTACAAGGCTCTTCAGGTTTCCCCTGGTTCCTACGACGAGAACGTCTTCAGAGTATGTCAATTCCTTTTGTTATGATTGATGATTAACCCAAGACTTTTACACATATCGATTATTATATATGGTGAATACGCAGGGATTGGATTTTGTGATATCTGAAGCTGGAAAATACGGGGTGCGACTCATACTGAGCCTGGTGAACAATTGGAAAGATTTTGGTGGGAAAAATCAGTATGTGAAATGGGCAAGTGAACGTGGCCAGATCAGTGCTGTGAGCAACGAAGATGGCTTCTTTACCCACCTTGTCGTAAAGCAATATTACAAGAATCATATTAAGGTTAGAAATATGTGCGTTTGCGGGAAGCATCGATGCAGCACGCAAGCAACCGTTTTGGCATGCGTTTTAATTTCTGGCTTTTTAGTCTGTAGCTATAGATTAAGTTTGATATACCAACGGTCAATTTCTTTTCCCCTTATATATATATATATATATGTATGTATGTATGTATGTATGTATGCAAGGACTGTTTCTCAAACTAATGCACCGCACGTTTGCCGATCAAATGTTACTGTCATGCAGTGGTATTTCATTACTGCTTCATCATCAAAATCTAGTGAAAAAAATTGAAGTTGGCTTTAATTTTATGTATGTGGTTGAAATGCTGCAGGCTGTGTTGACTCGAAGGAACACCATAACTGGGGTAGCATATAAAGATGATCCAGCTGTTTTCGCGTGGGAACTAATGAATGAACCTCGTTCTGATAACGATCACTCTGGAAAAATAATTCAGGTCCTTTTCTCTCTCACTCTCACACGAACTACAAATATATAGCTACACGTTCAAACACATCCTGCGTAGTATGTGCCAGCTTCTAGCCAGCCAACTAGGGGGAAGGAGATTTATGATTGTGTGATCATGTGATATCTCCAGTTTAATTCTTGAAAAGGAAAAATATCATACAGCGCCCACAGCAGATGAAAGACAATTATCAATTTGCTGAGACCCAGAGGGTAGGATAACTTTCCCTGTTCAAAGATAAAGACATTTTATTTATGGAACATCGGGTTTTTGAACTTCACAGGATTGGGTGAGTGAGATGGCTGCGTACGTAAAGTCTATTGATAGCAATCATTTGCTGGAAATAGGGCTTGAAGGGTTTTATGGGGAATCAATGCCAAATAAGAAGCTGCTCAATCCTGGATACCAATTAGTGGGAACCGATTTCATTTCCAACAATCGAGTCCCTCACATCGATTTCGCCACCGTTCATCTCTACCCAGACCAATGGTAATTTAGTTTTTTTTTTCCCTTTTACTTTTTGGTGAATGGCAATTGCAATTATTATTTCACTTGTGGAGAAGCTTGGCAGATTTCTTTTTCTCTTTGGTTGATGAGTTTAGTGATCGCTTCAGGGTACCGGGGTCAAACGAATCAGCCCAAGCTGCTTTTGTCGACAAATGGGTAGATGCCCATATTGAAGACTGTAATCATATTCTGGGGAAGCCCATTCTGTTGAGTGAGTTTGGGAAGTCGACCAAGTCGGAGGGATACAGCGTGGAGAAGAGAGACAAGTACTTTCAGAAGCTGTACGACGCCGCATACGGCAGCGCGAGGAGCGGAGGATCGTGTGGAGGTGGGCTTTTCTGGCAGGCCATGGCCCAAGGAATGGATGGCTTTCATGACGGATACGAAGTTATGTTTCAGGATAGCTCCTCAACCGTCAATATCATCCGCCAACAATCTCAGCGCATGTCAGCTCTCAATCAGCGATAAGGAGCCAAGCACACCAGATAGAATAAAAACAGAAAGAGGAGATAAGAAAATCACAAACCATAATCATAAATATTTGTAATTAAAGATTTGCTTTGTTCCATTGCATAGAAAGTCTGCCAGCCAGGGGCCAGCCAAGGTTGATGAGTCATGAGACGAGCTTGTTGCTTTTAATCGTTTGAAGACAAATGTGAGGAATAGAAAGTGACCTTTTTCTTTCCCTTGATTGATATATGCATGTATGCATGTTTTTTTTTTTTTGGCCAAAATATATATACGTATGCGTTACGTGGGCGATTTTGTATCAAGTGTCCTGTCAACTTTTCGAGTTTCCAATCTCATCATTCCTATTCTATAAATACATGGAAAAACAAAAACAAAAACCAAAATCCAACTGAATACAATTTAATATTAATAACCCTACCTCAAATTTAAAGAAGTTATAACCAGTACGGGTGGTTTATAAATTTGGCAGAAATAGGTACAAAGTAATACATTAAAGGGAATAATTATTTGACACTAACATATTACTCCCTTCATTATCAAATATTTGGGAAATCATTCTATATTTTATTATTTTTTATTATAAATAAAATTACAGATTGCAATGAGCATTAATTACATTTTTTCCACATTATTTCTCATAAATGAATAGTATTACCTTCGTCCTAAATTATAAGACAGTTTTGAAAGAAATCTGATATTCCAAAATATAAAATATTTTTAAAAAATTAATATTTTATTAAATAGACTTATTCCAATATGATAATTTTTCTATCCTTATTTAATTTCTGTCCATCACTCTTTTCAATATAAGTAAATGGTATTTTTTAAATTTTATATTTTTATTTTAAAAAATAAGGTTTTTAGGTGTATTTAATAAGGTTTATTGATATGTGAGATTTTATTTAAAAGTATTTTATAATTTAGAGTAGAAAAATATCATTAACCTATAGAACAAAGTAAACATTAATTACAAGGGTATTTTAATTCAAATATTTCAACTTCAAACATAATTATTGGGATTAACTAACTCTCTTAAACTTTACTCTCTCCATTTTTATATATAAAAGAAACTAGCACTTGTCATTTTATTTTTATTTATAAGTAAAATCACATTTTAATAAACATTTATTACAATATTCTTAAATTACTCTTTATAAATTTATAATTTTCATTTAAAAGAAATAATCAATGTAATCTTGCTATGATTATATACAAGATATTTTAGTATAGTTTTTTATGTTTAAAAACAATTATTATAATTGATTGATTTTTTTTAAAACTATGTGATATAATTACTTTTTCTTACATAAAAAACGGGAAGAGAATGAGGGAAAGGGTAGCAATTAGAATTAGTGTGCTCAAAAGTCTTGGTGGGAGGGAGGGGAATATAAGATAGTATACACTGAATAATCCCAGCCCTAGGCCCTACCTACTCTTTCATTCTTCTAGTAAATCGGGCTAACGTGTGATAATATTTAATATCTCTCCCCACACACACACTTGAACACTTTTGGTGTAAATTAATAATGCGATTCCGCGTTTGCCTTTTCATCTCCAGCTTGACAAGTGTTGTATATCCCCCGTTCCTTTTCTCCTTGGAGCTATCAAGATGAACTGGAATCCCCTGGCTCTAGCTGATCAAGGCCAACAGTGACTACATGAGATTTGGACAGTGAAAGTGAAGTAGGAGTAATCCACAAATTGATAGTGATCGCGCGAATCTACAAATCTACTTTACATGGCTAGAGAGGTTTTTTAATTCATCCAAAATAACATTTTAAAACCCCATCCCAAAAAATACAAGACAATCTAATCTATAATGAGATTATTGACAGGAATCATTTACTGGAAGTGCGTCTTGAAGAGTTTTTTACGGGGAACCAACACAAATTTATCCTTGCCCGTGACTGCCTTTGTGTTCATACTTATTCAAATATAATATTCAATGATACAAAAATCGCAAATTAAAATGAATAAAATTAACGCTATGAATGAATTCAACAGCCCCGCCGAGGTGCCATCAGTCAAAACGATCATTCGCGTCACTTCAAACCTTGACGAATGAAGACTCAAAACTTGATGTTTGCGCTTGTTCATGGATCTTAATTATTCGGAGCAAAAGTTTGAGGGCTAGTATGCCTTCAATTGCGTGTCTTTGTTGGTCGGTTATGCCATAACCAGTCAAAGACTTTCCATCACCATTTAAATGACTGCACCGTCGCCTATCACCGAGTTTTTGAGCACCACTGTGATTCCTGATCGAATGTAGATACCCTCAGAAGGTCTGTCTGCCTCCTGCACATTCTGCGTTCCGACAAAATTATTATTCATGGACAAATAGAAAGGTACTATGCATATAATATAATTTGAAGTGAAGTCAAAAATAGCTCCCTTCAGTAAGCAAAGAAATAGCCCTATGAAGAAATATTTTCACAGCGCGATAGCGATAACAACCGAATCATACTCACATCTTTATTGGCAATGACCGCATTTTTCCCAATTCTCGCATTCTTATCGATTATACAATTTCTGCAGAGCATAAATTTGTCAAAAACAAATTAGACCATACAAAAGATATAACCAAAAAAAAGATGAAGTGGGCAGACTGGGTTTTTAAGCATAAATGGGAGCCGCGAGTTTGCTGCTTTTGCCAGCTTCTGTTTTCTGTGTGAATGTGGTGGAATTTGTGGATTAGGGTCGATACAGCCAATCAATGATCAATATAATTAAGGGCAAGACTTATGTTCTTCGTCTTACATACTTAATATACTTATATCCAATCAAATCATGACATGTATATCCAATTAAATCATGGCATGTGGGTCTTAATATATTAGTTTAATCAATAACAAAAATTTATTATAGAATAAATAATCTATAAAAAATTCACATGTCTTAATTTAATTGAATACAAGCACATTAAGTTTATAAAGTTCAGTATATAAGTTTTCTTCTATAATTAATTTTATTCATTGCAAATTTTCCTGTGCCCAATGCTTAAAAATAGCCACATTCAAATCGTTCCGCCTTACTTTCAGGAATCTTACACAATTTTCGTGTCCTTTCCAATGCCTATTGGAACATTTTCCTCCGCCAAAAGAGCTGCCACTTCAGCCTCAGTTTGGTAAAAGTCAGCACCCATCATCATGGTGTCCTGTACAATGAATGTGAATGCAACTGATATTTCATCAATCTAAGCACTCCAGAAATGAGGTGGTTATCAGGTAATTACCTTCAACTGCACTCCAGAATCTATTCTGGAGCGGATTCCCACAATTGAATGCTCAATACTGCATTCTCTCAAAAAGCAACCGTCTGAAATCAAAGAATTCATTACCTACATTGAAAGTAATTGTTAATCCCCATCAGGCCCCACAAGAATAATCAAATATCAGCTATTTGAACCAAATTTTGCAGTTATACCTGGCACTTGTTCAATTTAGTTGGTGGTAAGAATCGAGGACGTGAAAAGATTGGCTTTGACTGGTCATACAACTGAAACTTAGGGGGCTTCAACACACCAGCAAAACGAATTGCAACTTGTATAAATATTTGACAAGAGCTGGTGAGCGGTGACTGATTATTGCTATGGCGTTAAGCAACCTACCTGATCCATTAGGGCCATGTTTGCATCAAAAAAAGACTTTATAGTCCCAATATCTTCCCAATATCCACTGAAAAGATACGCCTGCAATGAAAACCTTAGTAGTTTACAATAAAATGGAATATGATGATAACATTCACTAGAACACCAAAATCCCACAATGACATTATGCATATCAAAAAACAAGGACATCCTTGATGCTACCTGCACATTAAAATCCTTTGCAGCCATTGGAATGACCTCAGACCCAAAATCATTTGCATTTGGATAGCAGCGCCTAAAATTTGGCGTAAAACACATAAGAAAATCACGCCATACTTCTGTACGAAGAAAAAATAACACGCTCCTAGAAAGAAAGCTCAAAATCCTTGTAGGTACTACTTAAAACAATCAGCAATTTTCTGTTGATCAATGACGAAAGCAGTTCCCAGATAGATAAATAATACTCTCTCTGGTCTTTATTATAAAGACCTCTTGCATGTTTCTCAATGTCTAAAGCATTAATATTTTTCAACCTAGTATCCCTAACTAACTATAAAACTTCCTAACCATTTATACAAACTCCTCTAACTAATAATTTTTATTACGAGTAATTTTGAAATTTTACAAAAAATAACTAATTTTAACTTTCTTAATCTATGTAAAGTTGTTAATATGTCCTCATAAAAAGGACCCGGGGGAGTAAATATTAGTATTAAGGAATGTCGGTTATAAGGGTTGTTAAGGGTAGCTAAGGTAGTTGGGAGGGGTTGTGGCTCTATACAAGAGCCAGATATTAGTGTAAATATGTGAAGAAATTAATGAAAGTTAAATTTGGAATTAACTCTGTACCAGCATTGCTCAGAAATTACTTAATGTACATATTAAACAAGAACAAAAATAAAAATAATCACCTTGTTTTGATTTTAGTCTTTAACATCGCATCTTTTTTATTTTTTTAAATCTTCGACATAAAGTATAGAGAAATTTAGTCAACAAATTAGCCATTAACTTTCACTTCTAAAATTGTACATGTTTCCCGAAGAACAACTTTCATGTATCAAAATGCTATTTAAATTAACAATTTTACAACATTCTGCATGCTAAATGGGTTGTAACAGAGCTTTCATGCTTTTAACATCACATTCACTCCATTTCCGTGGTCCCGTAAAGAAAAGGTTTGAAGTCACCAAATAATATTTCTACTGAAGATCAGTAGTAAGAATCTTTAAAAGGAAAAAGTTTGCACATCACAAAAGGAGCCACATTACCTGAGGAGGTTTAGTAGAACATCGGTTTTAAACAAATATACACCCATAGATGCAATATATGAGAATTTCCTTGCTTCTTGAGTTGATAAGCCGAGGACAGTTGTATCTACATGCTACGTAAACAAGTTCTTTAAGTCAGAGACAGGTGCAGGTTGACAACTGAAATTATGGATATCTTTAATCAATCTTTTGAGAGACAGAAGAAATTGGAAGAGTAACAACCATAGACCTCAACTGTTCTCCCTTAGGTTTTTCCAGGAATTGACTGATCCGTCCTGATCCATCAACCTTCACTAAACCAAAATCAGCAGCACGACTGGAGATAAGAAAAGAAAACGTGAATATTAGAAAAAAAATCACGCAAATATGTTCGAGAAGGAATTTCACTCAGAATACCTATCATCCACTGGGAGACACGATATAGATATGTCAGCATTTGAACTAATATGCTTCTGCAGATGACAAGAGATCAACTGTCAAGCTTTGGTCATATCACATAAGTTATTTAATCAGTAAAAAGTTAACCATGCTGGTAATGCCAACCTGCAGAAAGTTCATGTAATCCATTCGATAGAGATGATCCCCACACAATATCAGAATGTTCTCTATGTTTCTATGCTCAGCTTCCTACTCAAGATCCAGAAACTCGTTTAGTGTTGCGAAGATGAGAACCATGTATTCTGCTTGTTGATGAAAGAACTATTTGCCAAAGCTACAGTTTCGTGACACTATGGGAGCCTCTAGCCCCATGTCCATCAACTATTAGGCTTGGAACTTTGGGCCTAGCAGGTGCTGTATAAGAACCCCCTGCCAGGACCTATTATATGATTTTCGCCTCTCCCTCATGCAGACAACCCTATTTCCTTATTCTCCTTCCCCGGTCAGGTCAACGGCCTCGTATTTTAAGTTGTAAATTATATATATAAATATATATATTAAAACAACTGCAATTTTATGAGAAGGAATCAGAACTGAGAAAATTTATAGCATACCTCAAACAACCAGAGAAATTGTCTTACAGCATCTGCTGTCCCCTGAAACCACTTATTTCCCGATTCTCCAGGGGTTTGAGTTGCTGCTAATACCTATTGAAACACGCTTTCAATCTAAGTACTCCATATCAACAAGTGACATGACAGACATGACTCAAAGAGGGGTCAAAGAATCTAATCAAAGAGACAAAAGAAAAGTGGGGGGGACATACCTCAACAAAACCACCGCCAAAGTGGATGCCACTCCCTAAATTATAAGTTTGGGAAATGTGACGGTTGAGGGACTGGGAATTAAATTGAGTAAGGATGTAAATTTTATTAATGCCACTGTTAATGCAATTACTCATCGGTATATCTACCAGCCTATAGCATCCTCCAATTGGTACCTGAATTCATCATGAAGAACATAAAAAGGCCCACAGGTTAGTGAACCCAAAATCAGCCTGCAGTAGTGGAAGAGAGGTGTCTTTAAATCGAACAGCTTACAGCAGGCTTAGCTCTTCTTTCAGTAAGAGGGAAAAGACGAGTTCCAGCTCCACCACCTAATATGATGGAAGCAACAGTCTTTGGGTCCACTTCTAATTGTCCATGTAATGGTGACTGCAAGGCCTGAAATGCAATTTGATGTTGTCACACTTTTTAGCAATGATAACACTATAACAATCTAACTCAATTTATAGTCACGATTGAAATCCTCCCATACGGGCCAAAACAATTATTCACTGAATTTCTGCTGATACTTTGCTAAATCTATGATTCTTGTAAATAACAAGTTCAAGAAAACTAAATCTAAAGTTCAAGAATGATGAAGATAACAAGGATAAATAAGGTTAATTTACCATCAAATCATTAGCAACATCTGCAAGAGTCCGAGCAGCCAACAATCTTTTGGTGGTCTTTTTCTGGGTTACATTGACGGTCTTTGTATTTCCTAAATCAGATGCTGCATGGTTTGAATGCACCAAATTCACTCTGCTATTAGAGAATGAGGAAGACAGAATTCTGTCATTGTGGGATGGTGTCACCTTTGAACTCAGAAGCAACGAAAATCCATGCAATTCACTTGCCATTCCTTCCACCCGTGTCTTCTTGAATTGAAAATTGGCCCTCGATAAGACAAATTGAGTTGATCTTTGCTTCTTCTCTTAAGCCGCTCAGTGAACAGATCAACTATTAAAATGGTTTCCAAGATTCAAATATATAATCATTAATAAAATATTAGACAACTATTAAAATGGTTTCCAAGATTCAAATATATAATCATTAATAAAATATTAGACAATGTAGTTAGATGAAAAAGAAAAAACAAACAAACAAGTTGTCGACAAGAAAAAAGAAAAAAGGCAAGATATAGCAGCAGCATAAGTTGAGCCGTTCATGCTCTTACATGATTTTTTTAAAAGAATAAAGGAAGTAGTGAGGGCTTACCTCAAGGCGGGGCAAGGAATGGCTTAATAGCAGAAAACCAACATAAATACCCTCCAACTGTCATTGTATTTTACTTTTTGGATTAAAAATCTGCTATTCTCTTGTACCAAATCAGCCAGTATACTAAGATTCTGAATAGCTTACAGTTTAAGCCGCATCCTGAATGGGACTTGTCGATATGTATGCTAGTTTGACGCTTTTTGGAGGTTCTGTCCATTAAGCAATGATACTTCTCGAATTAATTAGCAAGTTCTTACGCCAAAAAGTTTCAAACTTTGAACAAGAAGCCATCGGGTTGTCGGTAACATCGTGATTTCCAGGTTTCCATCAGATTGCCAGTTTCTTTCTGTCAAGAACGAGAGAACACAAGGATTAACTTGAACTTTGCGAAAGGATTATCGAAATACTAGTATATGTATGGTTAATTGTGTGTTAATCTGGCGTTCAAATGCATCAGCGCATCGTATTAGGGAAGAATATCCCCCCCCTTATGGTCGGGTTTTGACAGGCAGAGATTCAACCTGGAATCCAGCATCTCTAGAAGCCTTGCTGAAGAAATTCTTATACATCCGTAATGTTTGGCTAGCAAAGAATGATGTTAGAAATCATAACGATCTTTTAGTCGAACGGGCTCGGGAATTGATCACTTGAATATTAATTTAATGTTTCACTTGTATCAGAAGGTACAGATGAAACCCAGCTAACACTAAGAAAGATTGAGAAAGGGTCGTTTCTGCAAATTTCCCTTCTGATCCTAGCCCTATTAATTGCATTCCTCCATATTGGTTTAGGGGTAATCGCACCCAACTCAAATTAAAGACAACCAACAAAAATGTTTCTGGCGTTTTGCATTTCTTCTCCTGACAACTTAAACCAGTCTGTTTTATAAACTTAAGACTGTATCTCATTGCGAGTAGTAACCAAAGCTAATTCTTCTCCTAGAAACCCCATTATAATTATAATTACAAAAAAGAACTACACCTTGAGATCGTAAACGAAAATCTTACAGAAATCGGAATACAATATAGAAATGAGAAATATAAAACCCCTTTATAATGCAACTCACTTCTGGGTATCAGATGAACGCTTTCCTTGTCAACCATGCCCTTATTCATTCAGATGCATATATTCTCGCTTAAGCGATCAGAATAGAAATGGTTGATTTTAGTAGTGTCAGAGCCAGATTCTATATCCTATAAGACTAAAATAGGTTCGGTGACAGGATACTGTTGTTCTCAGTTCTAACCAAAAGAGTTGACAAACTAGCAAGCGCCTACTACGTTTACGGCCTTCACGAGCCCAAAATGGATTAATGATGTAGACGGAGCAGCTGTTACAACTGTACATTATATATATAGCTAAACCTTGGAGCATTATTTATCAATTCCGAGATTGCTACATAGATGACCAAGCTCAGGTCTTGCACCCATCCACGCCGCAAATTCCATCTTAGCAGGAGAAGTGCAGTGAAGGTAGGATCTGAATGTGATCAGGAAGAAGTACCGCCTGCAGATGAGGGGAAAAGAAAATGGTTACATCACAAAAACAGGGAAAAGAGAAACGTTCCACTGACATCCATGAGTATGATCCATTATAACTTTCTCCAAAATAATGTGTGAAACCAAATAAATTAATAAGAATGAAGGATTCAAAAAATGACTTATAGATACACGAGCTCAAAACAGGGGCTGCCACCAATTACACAAGTCCAAGGAAGGGTTCAATTTGAGTAACAAGAAAGCATCTCAGTCGTTAAGCATACCTCAGAGCCTCGACGCCCATGTCCATAAGATGAGCACGTTCCTCGTCATCACCATCGGTAAACTTTTCAAATTCTTTCCTATAATACATAATATCATCCCGCAAATGTCCTGCCCCTGCACACCTATATTCAACAAAGAGTCGACAATTTAGGACTTGATTTATGTTGCCAGATCATTTTCCACGGAAAGGTAAAATGGCAACAAATCCATATACTTTTAGATCTACTCAATGATATCCTCTATGCTCAAACTTCGGCTGATATACCTTTCAATAATAATGTCAACATCTGCTTTGCTTTGGGGACCATGTACGAGTACTCTAGTTAGGCTTAGTATGTCACGGTAGTCGCCCATCCTAAGTGCCTCTTCATTAGAAGCTCGGGAAGGCGAATTCTCTAGAACCATTGGATGTATGTGGGGACCATACCACAGTTGTGAGATTTTAGATTCCAAGTTTGTCATTGCTAGTTTAATACACATGATTGCCATTGCATATGCAACTCCACCAAAACCTGTGTGCGACAAGAATAGGTAACTACCTGCAGAGCTATAACAAAGCAAGGGAGCTTTAAAAAATATTCTTTGGTTTAGGAGATAAAAAGATTAACATATCAACAAGACTGTTTCTAGACATTGCAGAAACACAGAAAACACATGGCAAACAATTATTTAGACCTATGCACCTCCCTTAACTCATCAGAAAGAACCCAGCATTAATGATAAGTAAAACCATTCAAAGAAATTAATTGCACTTTGGAGACAAAAGAAGCCCCCATATATGTTACTTTATCAGCCATGAGTTGGTAAATGGTTCTCAACTTAGCATTGGACTGCTGCACATCATGAACCAGCACACCGATGCAATAAACAATTCTTCAATGCTAAGAATATACATTGATATCCTGCTATGTATGGACACTTACTCATCTTGACAATACTGAATTGCATCTATGTCAGAAGCCAAGGCATCTCTCTCTCTTGTTAATGGAATCCTCCGGTAGACAATATCATATCCAACATTTTTCAAAGATGAATAAAGTTCTGCAGGTGTCTTGACATCATCTGCTGAAATGTTCTCCCAATATCCAACCACACCACACTGATTAGTTGAAGGGTTATACTCCTCACGATGTAGTAGCATGCGCCAACCAGACTTTTTAACCTCTGCAATTATATCTTCTTTTAGCCGCGCCTCCATGTGCTCCACCTGCATTACAGTTATCATGAGTTGTACAGAACATGAATTTCGAGTTGTGTTTCAAAAGACACTATTGCACAAGATGACACACCACAGGACCAGTGATTCCCACGTGCTTGAGTGTATCAACAGGTTTGTTCAACTCCCGCCAGACAAAGGGAGTACCATCAATATAAACAACCGCTTCTTCCCTCAAATCAATCAATACAACTTTTTGAGAAACTGCAGCTTCCAGATCTCCTGATTTAGGCTTGGCACCTAAATATGATAGGATCTCCTTGGCACCAGAGACGGTTGGAGTTGCCATGCTATACACCGGGTATTCATCAACCTGCAGGAATGATGTTTCAGGCATACATAATAACACTTCCATAATTTAAACCATAAAACATATATTTATTGATAATAACACAAAAGAGCTCTGCAATTATTAAATAATAAGAAATAAAAATGTGAGCGCAACATTAAAAAAGAATTGGACTAATTGTTCTGAAGCCCTTAACTGTCAAAGACTTGAACCATAAGACAATGACTCAGTATATATGAGTATGCATAACCTAATTAAATTTTCTCCCGTGGCTTCCCTGACAAATCTTTTAGCCATGCACTTTATGAATAAAATTCTTCTGATTGCATCAATATAAAGCTTAGTACCAGGCTGAAAAATGAGATAATTAACCCATGTGCCTATGTATTAAAGCAACCGATCAAAACAATAACAAGACTTACATGCTTTCAGGGAAACTCTACATCTGACGAACATTTTATGCCAGTGCTCTATAGTCAGAAACAAATACTCAATACTGAAGCAACATCTATGGCGCAGATGAGAAAATGAAGCTACATGAAATTGTCCAATTAGAAACAACTAAATCAAATTGCAGTGCTAGATGCATGGAATACATTTTTCACCAAATAAATTCATGCCATAAAACATATTAGAGATGCTAATTCTACCTACACTTGGATGATCCTGTAGGTCCCCACTGGACGTGTAGCCTTATTCTCTGGCATCACAAATTTGATGATAGTCAGTTTCTTTAGCGGTACATATATATGTAAACATACCTTGTAAACATTTGGTGCACCATGTATTTGTATGTGGCTGGAAGTTCTCTGACCAGGAAAGAAATACATTTTTAGTATGGAGCCTTTCCCCAAAACAGAACCATTCCGGTCTTTGACTATTGCCTCCATTACTGCATCTCCATGCTGAGACTCTTGTGGTGCTCTCAACCCTTCCTACATATTAAATTGGCATCAAGGAAGCAATTTAACCAGGTCAGGAGGAAAGTTATAAATAAACTAGCAGAAAAAAGCTACCGGGACACAGAAAAATCGTCCTGGTCTCAGTCTGATGCTCCATTTCATAGCCTGCACCTCTGGCCTCCTATGCAACCAGGTCTTAAATGTCATCTTGGATTCTCCTTGTCCACAAAAACCATCAAAAGCTTCGCTTCCAAGATATGCTGCAAAAGCAATAAGGCGGAAGTAACGTTCCAGGTACTCAGCACCACGATTCAAGGCCACCCTCCTTACTCTAGGCTCAACCTGCTGTTGATTGAATACTCTTCTATATTGCAGAACAGCTTGGCGGATGTTTTGAAGTGCAGAGCATCTATCAATAATAGCATCTAAGGCCTCCCGGCATTCCACCCCATTATCAAATAATGTCGTTATCTTCCATAACAAGAGGATGTCATTAATGCCAAACACACGACTTTGGTTCTCATCCATTTTAATTAGAGAAGCATCAGAGATTAATGCATTAATATCAACCCCTGTTTCATCTCCACTTGAGAAACTACCATTTACTTCTTCATGGGCTACGTGCAAATTGTCAACCAGTGTTTTGATGGGCCTCCCATAATCAATTCTAAGTTTAACAAGGCAAGCTATGACAGTGCCGGTGGTTGTCCTACCTCTACCCATCTGTATATAAATAAAATATAAGTAGTAATTAAAGGGGGGATGGGAGGGGCCAAGGAGAAAATGGTCAAATTCAATGTAAATGGACAGTTACACAGAATGAACATCTCCATAAAGATTACATCATAGAATATAAGGTTAAAAGGTAACCTGACAATTGAAAACAAAAGCAGTGTCCTTTGGAGAAGATGCTATATTAACAGCCATTGTGTCAAAGTCAGAACTTTTAGGAGCTTTACCATCAGTGATGGGGACACGTGCATACTTTATAGGAAAACCATCACGCTGCAGGCTTTTAAAAACTTCAAGTGGGGTTTGAATTGAATGAGATGTGACATGCTCCCAAGCATCAAATATATGCCCATCATCTGTCTCATGAATAACCAATACAGCACTGCCATAGTGTTCAGCTTCCCGTAGGATATCTTCTTTCAACCGAGCTTCCATTTTCTCCACTCTTTCACGATCAATTCCCTAAAAGAAGAAATCACATTTCCAATTCATTGACAATTGGGTGTGATACGTGGGGGAACATTTCAAGACTACGATGAGAGAATTCACAGGGGCATTTAATGGCATCTTAATTTGAACATGTTAGATATGCTCTATGCTATGTCTTCTTCAGCATTTGTATAGCCATGCACACTTTTCTAAGGTACCCACTACCTCGCATAAAAAAAGAAAAAGTAAAGAGGATAGTCTCACTCCCCACTCAATCATGGCCTAACTTTATGGGATAAAATAGTATTTGAATTAAGTATTTCCACAACTGAAGCTGCGCTATGAAGGTTTTGTTTACCTCTTCAAATTTCAAGAGTCATGGAAACCATGTATTAGAACTTTCAACATTTGCTGAATTACCAACATAATTGCTCAGATTAAACCTGACCTGCCTTTGCTACTAAATATAGAGGGCAAGGGGATGCTAACATAACAAGATAATCATGATATTCAAGGGAGAAAAATGTAAAGACAGCATTTTAAACACCCTAACTACA